CGGTGGCGGGTTAATGTGCTTGCAGGGAGGGAGACGCTGCCCCGGGCACGTCCCCATGCCAGGACCTCGGGGGAATCCCTCGCAGCCCCTCCGATGAGTCATCGTGCTCCAAAAAGGCTGAATCGGGCTTGATCATAAAGCAGCTTTTCCAGAACAAATCCTTTCATAAAGGCATTCATCCAGAGGGACGTATTTTCCCAGCTTTAGATCCAGAAAATACAACCGGTCTGAGGTCTGGTGGGGGTCGAATCCTTCCCTCTGCAAGCGGGTTTTCTGGATCTTAAAAGTACCTTTGAAAAGAGACAAAAAGAATTAGAAATGCATTAAGCATGTTTTTGTGTCACAGAGACTCCTCCTCATGATGCTTAGGTGGGAAAGGTCCCGGGTGGCATCTCATCCCTATGTCAGTTTTGCTGAAGAATCTTAGAAATTTTAGTATCCCCGTTGTTATTGGTTCTTAAACCTTGAGCCATTTTTATTTCTCTGGTAAAAGGTCCTGGTAAAATTCAAGGGAAAGTAACATCTGGGATAAAAAAAATGAATATTGGAATAACACCCCAGGAAAAGCAGCAGATGAGTCGGAGGGGACACGTTCCTAGACTGAGATCTTTCCTAGAAGGGCTGGAATTTCATTCTTTCTTTTAAGACTTAACAAAAACCACCGTTTTTAGTGGTGTTTGAGCAAGTCGAGAGGTTGTTCGGCCCTGGAGCAGGTGGAAACTCCTCCGAGGGGATCGACGGTACCTGTGGTGTCGACCTGGGGCAGGAGCCGGAGGAAGACGGGCCGGGCGTAGGGAGGCAGCACCTTCTGCAGCTCCTGGTACAGGACGTTGGGGTTGACCTTGGCTTTGGGGTCGGCAATCGCTGCCATCCCGGCCTTGCCCTCCACGCCTGGAAGAGAAGGGGCTCGGGTGGAGACAGGGGGGCTACGAGATGCCCCAGGGGCGTTTCCTCCCGGGTCTCTTCAGGGTGAAGCACCAACGTGATGAGGAAAACACGATTTCACACCAGAGGCTGCTGCCAACGCGTCCCCTTGGCCCTCACTCGAGGCTGCTCCTGGAATCTCACCCAAATCTGGTTTTCTTACGTTCCTCTCACGTACACCAAGATAAAACTCAATGCGGGGCACCTCAGCGGGCACCAAGGTGCCCAGGACACGCTCGGGGCCACCCTCACACCCTCCTCACATCCCATCCCGGGGTTACTGGAAGCTCTACAGGCTGCAGACCCACAGGACTCCCCAAACCTTCCTTTTTTTGCACAAATCAAGGCTGTGCCACCGGGGCTCTGGTTATTCCTACTGCCCAGAACAAACATCCACCTCTGCTGCTTGGTTCCACCTTTTCTTTTTCAGGTGCTTTCAACCCCTTCCGACGCCCCCCTGCTCCATTTGCCTGAAATTTTTCCCCTCTCCCTAAACCCCCAAGAGCTCCAACTCAACGCCCTACCTGGTACCTCCACCCCATACACAGCCACGTCTGTCTGGTTGAGGATGCGGCTCAGGGTTCCCTCCACCTCCGTGGTGGAGACGTTCTCCCCTCGCCATCGGAAGGTGTCCCCGCTCCGGTCCTTGAAGTACATGTAACCCAGCTCGTCCATCACCAGGACGTCTCCTGCGAGGGGGAGACGCCGAAACCCACCTCAGGACTTGAGTTCTCCATGATCTCTGCTCAGCCTCGGGCGGCTTTCTGCCCCAGGGGGGCACTGAAATACCCCCGTGATTTCCCACCACGCCCCCTCTTCACGGGGCAGAGCCAGCGGGTGGAAAAGGGTGCGAAAAAATCAACCACAGAACGGGCTGGGTTGGATGAGCACTCAAAGATCATCTCGTTTCAACCCTCCCTGGCCATGGGGGCACCTCCCGCTAGGTCAGGTTGGGTCCTGGATCCAAAATGGGCCCAAAACTCTCTCCCCATTTTGAGATCTGAGAACAATCAACTTTGAGATGTTGATCGTTCCTGAAACCCAGAGAGCAGCTCAACAGCCGGCGCCTCCAAAACACGTCCCGGGAGAAGCACTTGGGTTGGGAAACACCTTAAAGATCAGGGATTCCTTCCAGAAATCCTGGAATTCCAGGAAGTGGGTCTCTGCAGCCCGTACCTGACAGGTAGGCCTGGTCGCCCTTCCGGAGGACGTCGTGGGCGATCTTCTTGGTGGTGGCGCTCTCGCTGACGTAGCCGTCGAAGCGCCGCAGGGGGTCCTGCTGGTTTATCTGCCCCACCAGCAGGCCCGGCTCTCCTGTGGGGACCGGGATGGGCACGGGGTGACGCCCACACGTCGCCCCCTCCTCACCCCCGGCATCAGGGGGAAGAACTGGGCGTCACCCCCCACCCCGGGACTCCAGAAACACCTTAAAGCAGCTGGTTTGTTACAGACCGGGGGTTTGTGGGGGCGATTTCGGTGCTCACCTGGGCGGCAGGGGACACAGAGCCCCCGGGAGTCCCGGACCAGCTCCATCGTGTCCTCGTTCACCTTCACCAGGCGGATGGGGTAAACGTTGGGCAGAATCCGACTGTTGAATCCGCAGGCGCCGACCTTCCAAAGGAGAGAAAAAAAACCCAAAAGGCTGAAAAGGAAAAAAAAAAAACACTAAAAGGCTGAGAAGGAAAAGAAGAAAACACAAAAGACTGAGGAGTTAAAAAAAAATCAAAAGGCTGAGGAGGCAAAAAAAGAAAACCCAAAAGATTGAGGAGGAAAAAAAACGAAACCCAAAAGGCTGAAGAGGAGAAAAAGAAAACCCCAAAATGTTGAGGAGGAGAAAAGGAACCCCAAAAGACTGAGGAGGAAGAAAGAAACCAAATCCAAAAGGCTGAAGAGAAGGATTTGGGTTTTGTGTTTCTGCTTTCTGGGAATTCTCCGATCCTTCCTCCCTGTCTGTTAACCAGCAAATCCACCCAAACTGGAACATTTTCCTGGGTTTTTGTGCGTGCTGCCCCTCCTGGCTCTGCCAATTCCCTGCCAGGAGCTTGGAGCCAGCTGGGAGAGGGGAGATCTCTTGCCCTCAAGCCATGGGAGGAGAGGAACCGGCCTCAAGTTGCCCCAGGGGAGGTTGAGGTTGCCCCTGAGGAACCATTTCTGCCCCTGGAGGGTTGCCCAGGGCTGTGCCAGGGCAGTGGTGGAGTCCCCACCCCTGGAGGGGTCCCCAAGCCGTGGAGATGTGGGGTGAGGGACATGGTTTGGGGTCACACTTGGTCTCCAGGAGCTCCAAGGTCTCTTCCCTCCCAACCATTCCGTGACTCCAGCTACCACTCGAGCTCCCTGCAAGAGCAAGAGGAGCCGGGAGAGCTTCTCCTCCCCTCACCTTCCCGTCCAGGTTGGCGATGCTGCAGTTACACTCGGTGGCCCCGTAGAACTCCCCGATCTGCGGGATTCGGAAGCGGGTGGTGAACTCCTCCCAGATGGTGGCTCTCAGCCCGTTGCCCACCGCCAGCCGCACCCGGTGCTGGGTCTCCACCTCTCGCACCGGCTGGTTCAGGAGGTACCTGCAGATTTCCCCGATATACTGAATAATCTGAAGCAGCAAACACAAAAACACGGCTCAGGCTTGGGGCAGAAGCTGCCCCCGAGGCCGCGCGTGTCGGAGAACCTCGCGGGACGAGACCCTCGGGCGCTCTCAGGACCCACCCAGGGGCTCCGGGTGCAAATCGGGGCAAAGAAAACACAAGGCAAAGTGGTCGCTGGCCTCAGGAGGCCACCAAAGGGCCCCAGAGGATCCCCCAGGGCTGAATAGACACGTCATGGAATCATCAAGGTTGGGAAGATACCCGAGATCGTCCCACCATCACCCAACGCTCCCATGGTCACTCAACCACGTCCCCAAGGGCCACGTCTACGTGGTTTTGAACCTCGCCAGGGCTGGGGACTCGACTCCAGCACCTCCCTGGGCAGCCTGGGCCAACGTCTCACCCCTCTGCCAGTCAAGAAATTCCTCCTCATGTCCAATCTAATCCTCTCCTGGAGAAACTTCAGCCCATTTCCTCCCATCCTATCACTGGTTATTTGGGAGCAGAGACCAACGCCCACCTCACTCCAAGCTCCCGGCAGGGAGTTGGTAGAGCCAGAAGGTCTCCCCTGAGCCTCCTCCAGCCTAAACCCCCCCCAGTCCCTCAGCTGCTCCTCACAAACCACGTTCCTCAGACCCCTCCCCAGCTTTGTTGCCCTTCTCCAGCCCCTCAAGAGCTTTCTTCTACTGAGGCACCCAAACCTGCCCCCCGGATCTGAGCTGTGCCCTCCCCAGTGCCCAGCCCAGGGGGCACAATCCTGCCCTGCTCCTGCTGGCCCCAAGCCAGGCTGCTGGTGGCCACCTCAGCAGCG